TATATATATATATAATGCTGGATGTGGATGTGGATGTTTGTGTGTGTGTGTGTGTGTGTGTATACACACACACACAAAAAAAAAAACATCCACATCCAGCATTATATATATATATATATATATATATATACATACATACATACATACATATATATACATACACACACACACACACACCCAGCATTATAACTATTTAATACAATAATATACATTCACCATAGTAGGCATTTAATGTGCTATAGTTAACCTATATTAACTATAATAAAAATTTTAATTTTATTAATCTGTTACATAATAACTAATAACTGTCTCACTTAGCAACAGAGGTTTTGGGCTGTATTTCGGTCACAATGCGAGCAGTACCTGTATTATAGTGTAATATAATAATTTATATTATATATAATGATATATAATTTATGTATAATAGTATACATAATTGTGTTTGTGTGTGTGTATAATGTAAATATTTTAATACAACAATATATATTAACCATAATAATAGATTTATTTAATACTCTATGGTTAATTTATATTAACTGCAATAAAAAAAATTAATTGTGTTAAGCTATTACACACACACAGTATTAGTGAGAGGCCAGAGTTTCCTTGGCAGATGGGCTTTGTAGTCCCAGGTCGATGGGAGGGGCTTGAAGTCCCTCAGCTCTGCCCTCGAGGGGAAGGAAGGCTCCTGTTTGTATCCCCCCCACTCCTTCCCGAGCCCCGGCCCTTCCCTCACCTCGGGGGCGCTGTGTCCGCAGCCGTTTTCGTCCGACTCCCGAGGAAGCGGCGGGGGAGGCGGCGGCGGCGGCGGCGGCCTCACCATCGGTTCTTGGGCCGGCGGGGCCGCCATCTTGCCGAGGGAACTACCCTTCCCACAAGGCCCTGCGGCCCTGGCGGCGTGACGCATGCACGCACGCGCTCGCGCGCGGCGTCCGGCTTCTCCTGGGGGGCGTGCGAGCGAGGGAGACTGCGTTTCCCGTGGGGCCTTGCGGCGGCGCGTTGCCAAGGGCAGCGCGGAACGCGGCGCATGCGCCACGGGCGAGGATCATGGAAACCTTCCCCCGGCAGCGTTTCTTCACGCCGCGGGAGGTGTCGGTGCACAACCGGCCGTGGGACCTGTGGGTCTCCTATCTGGGGCGGGTGTACGACCTCAGCCCCCTGTCCGAAGAGTACAGGGGTAAGGGCGGGGGAAGGGGGCGGAGTTTCGGCGGCACAGCTCCTCCCCCCTAAGCGGAGCCTCCAGGTGGAGAGGCAGTCTACCTGAATTGGGGAGGAGGAGGAAGAAGGCGTCCTTGCTGGCCAGGGTGGTTATCCGGGACGGGGGTGGAAAGAAGGGCAGTGAGGGAAGAAAGGAGCCGGAGGGCCAAATTCAAGGCTTGCATAGCTCTGGGGAGGTCAAAAAAGTCAAGATGGCGGCCTCAACCATGCAGTTAAGCCCTATTTTTTTATTAACGTGCATTAATAAAAAAAATGCACGTTCTGCATATGTCCATCCCCCAACAAAACTTAAAAAATAAAATTAAATAAATAATAAAATAAAAGGGCAGAATTGGTGGAACACTAGTCCTTTTTTTTTTTCTCCATATTTCTGTAGTGTGCTGGTGGCCGCCATGTTGACTCTTTTGACCTGGAGAGGGATGAAAGGATGCTCCTGGGTCGTTGGACGCCCTCAGGCATTTCCAACGCACTATAAGGGGGGGCGGCATTGGGACACCCCCAAAAAAAGCAATGGCGGAAGGGAGGGGCTCTAATGCGGATCCTGGCTTCTCTCTCCCCTGGCACAGGGGACCTCCTCATGAAGCCCATCCTGGAAGTGGCAGGGAAAGACATCAGCCACTGGTTTGACCCCAAGACCAGAGACGTGAGTGTCCGGTGACGCCAGGGCGGGCGGGCAAGGCTTTTGCCCTTTCACGAGACCCGGGAAGTGAGCCTGGGGACTTTTTCAGAAGGCAACTGGATTTCATTGGTTCCTTTTTGAAAAAGCGCCTGTGGGTCCATCCCTCCATCTTCTGGCCCATCGTATTGATATATTTCTTTTCCTTCTTGGCCGGGGTTCGGTGGCGGTCGTAAATTGAGGACTGCCTGTGTTCCACAGGGCCCGTTTCTTTTTCTTGCTGGGGATTTGAGACTCTTCTGGTCCTAAGCAAATGTTCTGAGAGCTTTCGTCTCTTCCTTGGATGAGAGAAGATCTGTGTTCATTTGGAGGTGGCATTTGGTGGGTTGGGGCTCTGGAGGGAACCATCCTGGTTAGAGAGATGGTGGTTGAATGTGGGCTTTCCACCCCGTGCCCTGGGTTCTTTCCAGATACAGACGCACATCAATCCGCTCACGGGCTGCCTCAAGTACTACACACCCCAGGGCCGGTTTGTGCACATCCCGCCGCCTCTTCCTCGCTCGGACTGGGCCAATGATTTTGGGGTGCCCTGGTGGAAAAACCCTATGTACGAAATGGGCACCTTGTCTGCGAAAACCCGGAACATTCGGATCATCAACACGCTGACTTCTCAGGAGCAGACCCTCGAGGTGAGTCCCATCCTCCCCAGCCCTTGCCTGGCCCCCAGGAGCCTCCCAGCAATCCGGCTTCTTCCCTGGGCAACTTGAGCAGGGCGGCTGTTAGGTTTAGGCTGGGAATTGGGTGAGGGTCAGTTTGGCGTGGTGGTGAAGGCACCGATGCCTTGGGCATGAAAGCCGGCTGGGTGACTTTGGGTCCATGACCAGGAGACAGTGAATTCTAGTCCTGCCTTAGGCATGAAAACCAGCTGGGTGACTTTGGGCTGAACACTATAAGACGGTGAGTTCTAGTCCTGACTTAGGCATGAAAGCCAGCTGGGTGACTTTGGGCCAATCACCAGGAGATGGCGAGTTGAGGTCCTGCCAGCTACGACAGACAGTTGGGTGACTTGGGGCCAATCACCAGGAGACGGTGAGTCCGAGTCCCGCCTTAGGCATGAAAGAAAGCTAGCTTGATGGCCTTGTGCCAGCCACTTTCTCCCAACCCTAGAAAGGAGGCAATGGCAAACCACTTCTGAGGAAACTTGCAGGGACTTGTCCAGGCAGTCTTTGAGAATCAGACAAAATTAAACAAATGGGGGGGGGGGGGAAACAACCACATATGTGCTTAGGGTTAACCACGATTAAGGCCTATGTTGGGCTTCTTTGGGGAGGGTTCAGTTCAACACACAGACTGAGTTAAAGAGTGGCTCCGTCGGCAGGTCTGTTCAGAAGAAACCATGTGGGAGATCTTGAGGCGCTACCTGCCCTACAACGCCCACGCCGCCAGTTACACGTGGAAATACCATGGCGTCTGCCTGGACATGAGCAAGACCCTCGAGTATAACAACGTTCCCGACGAAGACGAGGAGTTCTACCGGCTCAACATGGACGCCGACGCCTTCACGCCTGCCATTTTGCTCTACTTCAACGATGACCTCACTGAGCTCTAGAAACCTGCCTAGTCGTGGGCCTATTTCCCTCCAGCTGGAAGTCCCCGTTAGGTGCCCCTTCTTCTCCACAGCAGCTGCAGGACACCGAGCTTGTCTTTTAAGGGACGGCAGCACATTCGGTCCTCGGGCAAACCCATTCTCTCTCCAAGAACAAGACTTGGTGGGAAGGAAGATGATGGGTCCCTAAAACACGATCTCCTGGTCTTGTGAACCCGGGCTCTCACTGCTCCCGTTTGCTACTGCAGCCACTAGGTGTCAGTCGTGGCTCATGGTGCAGCCATTTTGCCGCTCCGTCGTTCTTCACATGGTTTTAAAAAAAATAACGGCATTTTATTATCCTGCAGGCCTTGAGCTGGCAAAGCAGCTTTGCTCCCTTTTATGTGGAGAGGGAGCCACGCAATTTTATATTTTGACTTTTAAACGGGTGTCCTCCGGCCTGCGCATCCTGCTTAACCCTGAAGGAAATGAAGGAATCTTGGAGCAATCCTTTGCACCCGTGTGAGCAATTTCAAAGGCTTGCTTGGAGGAGTGGCTGGAGGTGGAGGAACGAGGATCCCTTGGAGGATAAGTGGGATAAAAATAAAATAGCAAAACGTAGGATGTTTGCGGTGAAGATGTCATTGTCCGGTCCGACATATTTTTTTTTTTAAAAAAAACCCACCTTGGTGCATGAAAAGAGCAAATCTTCAATAAAGGTTGTCTTTTTATCACGTAACTTTTGATGTTAAGGGGAAAAAATGTGACACTCCGTATCAAATATCCTCTGGGTGCTTATTTTCTCAGAAGCAAGCCTGCTGCTCTCGGTTTCACGAGGGTGATTTTGTAGGAACTCTGTTCAGGATTGATTGCAGCCAAAACTCGTTTTCAAAACTGGCTGTTTCCCCCCCCAAAATACATTGTATCGGAGTCAAACTTCATCCTTGGAGTATTTGCGAACACGGACACAGAGAGAGGTCTTTGGCACTAGTACCCCGAGTGGTTTGTCCTCGCTTTCTTCTGGAATGTCTGTGTATTCCCTGGTGGTCTTCTATCCCATATTAACCAGATCCTAGTTTGTGTAGTATTTTGGAAATCAGACAAAATCACTTAGGTGATACCCTAGTACATTTAAAAAAAAAACACATTTATTTATTTAAAATATTTACATAGCTGCCCATCTTTCAGCCAACTCTGGGCAACTCCCAATCAAAACTTGAAAGACATGAAGAAATTGTTTTAAAAACCATCAACTGCAAATGGTTGAAAGATAAAGGGGAAAACCTGAGTGGGTTTCAGGTGCGTTTGTGGAAAAGCTAGGTGTTTCCCATGTCCTTTATTTATTTATTTATTTATATATATAAATACACACACACACACACACACACACACACACGTATAATGGAGTCCAACATTGTTCTTGCTGAACAAGACATTTTGCCTGCGTCACGACTTTCCTTGCCACAGTTGTTAAGTGAATCACTGCACTTGTTAAAAATAGGCACACGATTGTTACGTGAATCCGTCTCCCCCGTGGACTTTGCTTGTCAGAAAGTTGCAAAAGGTACTCACTTGTCCCCAGGACACTGCAGCCGTCATAAATATGAGTCAGTTGCTGAGCATCTGAATTTTGCTCATGCGGCCACGGGGATGCTGCAAGAGTCATAAGTGTTTAAAAGGATCCCAGTGGTCACTGTTTTCAGCGTTGTCATAACCTCGGATGATCACTAAAGGAATGGTCGTCAAAGTCTACCCGTGATAACTCTGGATTTAAAATGCAGGTTAAAACCGCACTAAGAGTTTCTAGTCCATAGTAATCCCGAGATACAGCCTGTGTTAGGAAGGCCTTCTGTGGCTTGAGATGTCTCTATTGGATCTCTAATGTGTTTCCTGCAAGATGAGTCTAGGTCTTCTGCTGATGCGCCCCCTGACGACCTGTAGACCTCAACTCCCAGCAGGCAGGCAGGCCATAGTTGCCCACCCCTGGCTTAGAGGTTGGTAGTAGAGAGAGGCCTCTAGGAGCTGTTGAGATCCAGGACTCAGATGCATGCAGACCCCCGGTCCCACAAGGCGGGTAGTGGGGGAACTTCTGTGGAGGGAGCAGGAAAGACTCAAGGAAAATTAAGTCCCCCCCCCCCAACCCGGATCAGGGAGTTTAATCCTCCTCCGCAAGTGTACAAGTGTGCTAATTGCAAGAGTGTGATCTGAGGTTGCTGGTGTGTCCCCAAGGGTACACGGGGCTTGCCTTCTTCTGCCTCTGCACCCATCTTCTTGCTTTCTGAGACCACCATTTACGAAGGGGAAAGTGTGGAAACACAGTGATCCACAATTGCCCACCTTGGGGTGGGGGGAGAATACGTGTTTCTGTTTGCAAAGCAACGGAGCAAACAAGAGTTGCTGGTCTGGACCTGGAGGTCTCCAAGGGTGACATAGTCCCCTTGGGGGCCACCCTAG